CTGATGGAAATGCAAAATGATGCAACTGCTTTGGAAAACAGCTTGATAGTTCCTCAAAATCTTACAGAATTACCACATGACCCAGCAATTCAATCTCTAGCTATATACCCAGAGAACTGAAGGCATGTTTACACAAAAACTTGCACATGAATGTTGATAACAGTATAAAATTCATAAGTAGCCAAAAAGGGGAAACAACCCAAATGTTATCAATGAATAAATGAATTAACTAACTGTTCTATATGCAAGCAATATAATATTATTCAGCTATTAAAAGAAATGAAGCACTGATATGTGCCACAAGACTGATGAATCTTGAAAACATACTAAGTGAAAGAAGTCAGGCACAAAAGGCCACGTATTACATAATTCTATTTGCATGAAATGTTGAGAACAGGCAAATATATAGAGAGCCAAAATAATTTGTCCTTGGCAGCGACCGTCAGAACAGGACAATGAGGAGTGACTGCTAATGGATTTGGAGCCTCATTTGGAGGTGATGAATATGTTCTCGATTAGATAGTGAAGATGTGATAGTTGCACAACTGTGAATATTCTAAAAATCATTTTTGAACCCCTTAAAGCAGTGAGGTTTATGGTATGTGAATTATATCTCAATAAAATGTCTTTTTCTAAAAAAAAAAAGAACAAAAATTATGGATATTTAAAAATTTTAAAAACGGAAGTTTTGTTTTGTTTTTTTTTTTTTAAGAAAATTCTGCTGCTGAAACCACAGGGAAGCAAAAAAGGTTAAACACACAATTTGATATGTTATTGTAATGAGAGACTATAATAGGAACTATCCCCAGGTTGTTTTTTCTGTACTTTCTGACTAAAGTTTTTTTCTCTACTTCCATGGACTTTAAAATGGTCCATAGGCGTGCAAAAAATGAGAGAACCTATTTCATGAAACCATATATCAAGTCCCAGAGAGCAGAGGGAAAACCATTTGTTTTTTTTTTGCAAAGAAGTCATAGGCTGTGTGACAGAATAATGTTGCGAGACAACAGATCTGGAGTTGGCCAAGGGGCAGGAGGCATCGTGAGAAGATCAGGTATTGCAGTTGATAAGGGCCATCTGTACACTCTGAAAGTGGAGCTATTCATAGTGAGAATGATGTTAAGAAAAGCAACAAATAAAATTATAGCCCTCATTATAAAAATTTAACATGCAAATCTTAATTTTTATCACAGCAGTACCGAGGTAAACAAAAAGTGTCAGGAAGTCATGGAATTTAATGTGAAAAACTCCCTCGGAGTTGGAACACAGTCATCTTCATATGGTGGGGAATGTAAGGGGCAAGAAAAATGTTCACGGTCCCTGCTGAATAGGGAAATGTAAGGAGATTCTTGCTGCATATAAGACAGCCAGTGCCTACCAAATATCTGTTGTACTCCATTATGATGAAATGGGTAATGGGTTACAGAATAGGGTAAGGAGAAAGGAGACCTGTCCTACAAGTTTCTTAGCACTTAGCAAATGGTGCAGGCATTTGCTATGCATTAAGAAAAATCATCATCCAAACTCTCAGACTCATCCAGCCACAAACTTAACTCTTTGTTCCTCCTCCTCCCAGATAAAATTCTTGTCTTATTTCCGTTTGTCAACTTTTTCTCACTCATGGCCACCTTTTGGCTATTCCAGGCCTTTTGCACTTTCATAAAAAATTAAAATCAGTACTTTCATTTCTACAAAAAAGACTGTTGTGGTATTGAATGTGATTAATTGCATTAAATCTGTAGCTCAATTTGGGGAGAATTGCCATATTAACAATACTAAGCCTTTTAATGCGTGAACACAATGAATCTATTTATTTAGGAGTTCTTTATTATATCTCTGCAATGTTTCATCATTTTCAGTGTATATATATTTTATAAAATTTTATTAAATAT